CTTGAGGCTGAGAAAGAGCAAACTCTGCCAGCTTGGTAATCTCGCTGACCCAGTTGGTCACCTTCTCGCTAACGTATTCCTCTAGATATTCCCGTGAACGTATCACCGCACCCAGATGTTTTTGTCCCTCTACCGTCACATTATTATTATTATTATCATTATTATTATTACTATTACTATTATTATTATTATTATTATTATTATCATCATTATTATTGTTTGCACTTCAGAACACTGCGATAAATGAAAAACTTAAAATCATTTTAGTTTAAAATTAATGACGTTTCGACGTTCCCTCGTCATTTTCAAGGCAACTGAGTAAATAGAATATGTACGAATTCTCAAGGGACACGGATGCAAAGAAAACATTCTCATTTTGAAAAACAATCCCTTTTTAGATATGCAATGAAACTCAGTCAAATGAAATGAGATCAACTCAAAAATCCAGTCAACTAATCGTTTAAATCGATCGATCGATCGATCGATCAATCAGTCAAACGACCAATCAATCGGCAGCTTAAGTTTAGGTTGGTTAATCACTGACCATTAAGGCTGATTTCAAATTGATTGTAATTGATCACATGTCTTCTTATAACCATAGCCAATGCAATAAAATGCCTGATCAAGTAAACCATTTTGAGAATGACAAAGGGTAAATTGTCAAAGTTCTCTGATATTAATTTTTTTCAAGTATAAACGATGGTAGGAAGACTCTATTGATAATCGTAACGATAACAAAATTCTCGATCGTGATTGGTTCTCCGCGCGCCAATCGGCGTAAGGTCACATGGGTGTTCAATTACAGGTATCTAATTTGAACTGTTTGTAATTGGATACCTGCAATTGGATACCCACGTGATTCGCACATCAATAATGGCTTCCTTCTTAATGTTTCCTACAGCTTTTAAAACTTATGGAAAGAGCTTATGACTTTTTCGCTGAAAGGAAGTTCTCTAATGACTCTTAATTTCGAAATTTGTTATAGATATGATTAATTATAATAATTAATTCGTAATTGGACCTCGTGTCGTACAATTCAGGGAGTAATCGTGCCCGTTATTTCAAATCGGCCTCGTGCTTCGCGCTCGTCCGATTTTGAAATTACTCGCGCAATTATTCCCTGAATTGTACTCCACTCGGCCAATTATGATTACTAATTGGTATAATTTCCAGAGGTGAATATAAGAATTGCACATTCTGATTGGCCGAAAAGCTCGTCTTATGACGCTTTATTCACCGCGCTAGGCGGTGAATATAGCATTTCTGAGCTTGGTTAGTAAGCTCGCCACCTTAACTTTGCCATGTCGGCAAATAAACATAGGGGACACTTGCTGAATGAAATTTTCGTTTATTCGAAAGACATCACTCGGAGTCCAGGATATTTGAAAGGATGGAGACTTTTCAAAATGACTGCTCTTGCCCTTTGATCAAAAATCTTTTCAAGAACTCGTATTCAAGGCATTTAAGAATCGTAAACGGAGTGGTTACGTTGATCGTCAGCAGGTGAGATCGATTGACTGAAATTTATTTTTCTTCACACTAAAGCTGCTAAACTGTGAATGAAGTCAAAAACGAAAAACAAAGGCACCGGATGAATTTATTTTCGTAGTGTTTCGCTTGTTTGTTTTACCGCCGAACTCGATGAGTAAATTGATTCACAATCGATGCACATGTAATTATTAAAACTACGGCTACATACCTGCATGCAAACGAATAATCGCGTCTGTGTTTTAAGCCTGGTTTTCACTAGTGATGCAAGCACAAGCGCAAGCACAAGCACAAGGATCAAAAGTTTTCCTTTTTCCTGTGCTTGCGGTAATGCTTATGTTTGCGCCGCAACAAGTGAAAAGGAAATACCGCTCAGGCATAACACAAGCACAAAGATATTTACCACACGTGGTTATGTTTGGCCGATGAAAGCACTGGATCCAGATTACCATGCGCCTAAACAGTTTTCCAAAATGGCGGAAAGTTCGGATGATTTTGCTTGGGTTTGTGTTTGCGTCGAATTTCGTTTTCACTTGAGTCATCCCTATTGCTTGCGTTTGTGCTTGCGCTTGTTCTTGAGCTCGTACTTGCGTCGCTAGTGAAAACTGGGCTTAATGTCGCGCTCCAACGCCGTACGTAAAACGATAAAACTGGATTATTGCACGAGGATAACACCAATTCAAATCAAATCTGGCGGCTTTACTTGTATTTTGGGGCAGTCATGGGCAACTTAGGGTAAGTAGGTTCTTAATTAGGTTCTTAATTTCTATGAAGGAGATATAGTTGTTGATTACCAGAAAAATAAATAAACTAGGGTTTGGTCCTTGAATATAAAGTACATATTCACAAATGTATTATATATTTTCTTGTAATACAAATTTCCTATCTCAAAGTCACACTCCTTGGTTAAAATGGTTATGATAAATTAACTGTAACCCACATATATAAGAAACTGCTTGATCGTGCTTGCCTAAACAGGTTCTTATATTTTTGGACGTAAAAATGGCAAAATTCTGCAAGCAGGTTCTTAAACCACTGGGGTCTTACAAGTGGGTTTTTACTGTATCACGTGAGAGAGTTCAACTTGAAAAAATATTTAAAAAAGAAAGAAGATAGTAGTCATGTACCCAATGACGAATATTACGCTGTCGTTCAGGTGCTGAGCGTGCAGTACTCTTGATCAGGTTTTCAATCTGCTCATCAGTCAGATATCTTCTTTCACAGGGAATAAGGGTACACACTTCCAATGGAAGATAATAATCTTTTTTCTGGCTAACTTGTAGGCAGGGTAGGTGAGGATATCTGTAGATAGAAAGTGCAGTGTTTTTGTAATTTTTCGTTCTTTACAAATATAAGTAGAAGTTACACTTAATTCAAAGACTGCACTTAAAAGTACACTACAGATCTGCACTTCACTAAACAAACAAAAAATGCATAACGGGTATGAAAGACGTGAAACGATCATTTTGCGCAGTCATTTTGAACTCAGTTGACCCAGTTCCATTAAGTGCATATCATGAGAATTCTTGAGGTTCTGTAATTCATAGTTTGATTTTAACTCATCTTTCTCTTTTAAGCAAACAGTTTTTTATAATAATGAGTAACTGAACAATACCTCAGAGGCAAATTGTATCTATCCTTAAAATATTTGACTACAGTTGTTTTGACTTTGCGACCAGTTAGTTCCTCCTGAACATCGAACTGAAGCTTTTCTGCGGGAAGGTCTGTAACTCCCCACACGGTGTACTTTCTCTTAATAGAGGCTGCAAGAGTGGTTTGTATACGGATCCCTGAAGGACAAAGAAAGGTATCATTTAGTCAATCATTCATAAATAGAAAGTGAATAATAGTGTAACCTTGTGAATCCTAACCCCAAACAGAAATACGTTCTGACACCCAGGCGTGTATCTTTTGTTTCTCAGTACTGGTAATTTTTACCACTGTTAGCATCTGATAATTAATTTCTGTTTATTCTCTGTTGCTCTCCGCTGTCAAGTTCACGAAATAAAGTATCACATACGTACAGGATGGTTGTATAAAAGTTAGCAATAATTATTGGTCTATGCATATACATGTTCATAGAAATGATCAACTTGCATTCATCAGAAATTACTGTACGTTAAAGTCATAGCTTAGACCTTATGCACTCATACCACGTATGGCCTTCTCAAGCCTTTGTTTATCGAGTGGAAAGCTACGGTCTTCAAGACTTTGGGGCGTTACATCAGGTCCATGGATTTCACATAAGAAGCCTATGGCATCTTGGCTCTTGTCAAACACCTTTTCAGAGACTGAAATGATAACAACAACAGCAGATCAAAATGAAAAATAGATATAGAAATATAAAGTTTAATTGCAGACATTAGGCTAGAGAACCCAGGATTTAGACTTCTGGGCAGATATGAACCATTTATAAAATGTCCTGACAAGAAACTTATTCTATGCAACTAGTCAAAAGGGGAATCGCTCCAGCCGCCCAGTTTTATAAATTTTTAAAGCTACATGTACTGACCATCCTCTAACCTACACGGTCCGATGATCGCCTCGCAGGTGATCGTTCTATCTTAGAAGCTTGTGCGTCAAAGCGATATGAATGCAATAGGGACTTTTAAGATATAGTACGGCTAGGCTGTAGTACGGCGGCAAATAGCGAGGATCGCTTCCGGTGACATCATGACGCGTGTCCTAGTACTGCTTTCCCGCCGTAGCCCTTGCTCTCCACTGAGGGAAAGTGCCTGGTTTCACGTACTCTTCACTAAGCGAGTAAAAGCCTGTCGTTTTAACGCTTTTTTCACTTTTTGAACACCCTAGTTTGAAGAAAAAGTACCCAATCATGAAAATCCGTTCTAAAGTAATTGTTTCTTTGTCATTTGTACAGAAAATTTGTGCGATTTAAACATCTACTGTGAGCAACAGTCATATTTGTAGCGGGCGGAACAGTTGCAGATATGGAAGCTTCGTATGTACTTATCACATATGAACACCCTGCCCGTGCTTAAATCGAGCTTTTCATTAGTATTATTTTGTTTTGTGGTAGGAGCTATTTACAGGGGGTTCTAAAAGGCAAAACTAGGTCCTCGGAGATCATGGGAGATGCAAGACGGATACAGAAGAAGTAAAAGATTGTCATTAATGAAGCTTATGTCGCATGAAAGTAGAATAAAGTCAATGATTTTTTCTTGCACGAAGCCATTTTTGTAAAGACAGGTATAGGCTGCACACGACATTGTCGTACACGTACAACGAAATCTTAATTCGTTTGAGTTTCACGAAGAAAACGATGTTGCCAGCCTAATCCCTCACGGCCAAAGAAGCCGAAGTAGTAGCTCGCCGTAGCGTATCTGTAGGGATTTTAAGATATGGTACGGCTAGGCTGTAGTACGGCGGCAGTTAGTGAAGATCACTTCCCGTGACGTCATGACGCGCGTACCAGTACGGCATTCCCGCCGTAGCCTTGCTTTCTACTAAGGGAAAGTGCCTGGTTTCACGTACTCTGCACCACGTGAGTAATAAGCCTGCTGTTTACTTCTCATTTTAACGCTTTTTGCACTGTTTGACCAGCCTAGTTCAAAGATCAAGTTGTCAATCATAAAAATCAGTTCTAAGATCATTGTTTCTTTGTCATTTGTACAGAGAATTTGAACGATATTAACACCTACCGCGAGAGGATCAATTCAGTCATATTAGTATCGGGCCGAACAGCCGTTTATAAGAAAGCTTCGTATGTTCTAATCTGAGCTATAATTGTTTATTACTGTTCAAAATGTATTTTATTATAATCGAGTTTTGTATTTTCGGGCTTATCACGTAATCATTGTACGAACAACCTGTCCGTTTTGAAATCGAGCGTTTTTATATCAGAGTTTGTATTTTGTTTTGTGGTTGGAATTACAGGAGGTTCTATCAAGTTCTAAAAGGCAAATCTGAGTTCTGGGAGATGTAAGACGGATACAGGAGAAGGAAATAATTGTCATTAATCAAGCCTATTTCGTATGAAAGTAGAATGATCTCTGGTTTACTTGAAAGTAGTCATTTTTGTAAAGACACGTAGAGACTGCACATACCGTTGCCGTACAGGAAAATCTTAATCATTTGAGTTTGGCGGGTAAAACACCGTTGTCAGCCTAGTCTCTCACGGCAAAAGTAGCCTTAGTAGCACCTCGCCGTAGTGTATCTTAAAGTCCCTATTCCCTAATTCGCTACGGAAGGATATCTGCGATGCGCCCGATGTTTGCCAACAACAAGTACACTCTCTCAGTCCAGTTTGTAAGCAAACTTAATGGGGACTTATGACCAGTACACGTAGAGCTGTTTGATTAAAATCTCAGAGGAAACTGGATCTGCTGAATAAGTGCATAATCAAGAAAGAATGTTACGGATAGAAAAAGAAATATAATCAAACACTTATATCTAGAGACAGAAAAAGAGAAAGCAAGTCAAAAAATCGTGATTTGATTTATACTTATAAAAACGAACAATTGAGCTAAGTTCAGTATTAGACTAGGGTCAGCAGGCTCAATCCTTTTAAGACTGACTTTCATTATATTTTCGCATCTTTTGGACTACTTAGCGCCTAATTGTTAAATGACGCCTACTAAAAAAAAGATGAAGAAACATGCAAAAAGTCTTGTCCCTAAAACGGGTTTTGAAGGGCTGTCTTAACTTGGCCCCCGCCTGAGTGAAATGTTCTGACTGAAACACTGCAATTCCATCAAGGTACAGTAAGACTTTGATCAGTACACTTTTGATGATCCAAAATGACATATTCTCACAGTCTTGTAAAGACATTGAAAATCTGGCAACTCGCTGCATATATATCTTCCAAGGTACATTGTAAGTGTCTTCCATTTAAAGTAAAGTAACGTCAACTTTATTTAAACAGGGTAGCCCTCTCGGCTGATATCAGTAGGGAACCTGAATATTACAATAAAGTAACTTTATTTAACAAATAAAGAAGCCCAAGCCGTGTATTACACTGTGATAAAACACGACGGGCATTTGAGAACACGAGCCGCAGGCCAGTGTTTTTTACATTTCTCGAATGTTCTCAAATGCTCGGGTGTTTTAACACAGTGCAATACACGGCTTAGGATTCTTCATTTGCTTTATGATATACATGTAGAGGCAATGCGGTGAAAAACAATAATAATTCTATGTTTTATACTCTGATAAGACATGGGTTTTCGACCAATCAGAGCGCACACAGGGTCCTATCCATATTATAAATATATATATCAAAGTAAGAAAGTCTAACAAGTCTAATAAATATGTAAATATGTACAGTAAGGCAGTTGGCATCTTACAGAACGCTGCAATAAACCAGCTGTAGCGAGTATTTCAAACAGATGCTGGAAATAAAAGAATCCTGTCTTTCCCTACAATGTACATGTACAAATTTATTTACATCATCCTATTGCTTACCATCAATGTTCACCAGCATAGCCTTCCATTCAGAGTGTCTAACACTTGAATAGAAACCAACCTGCACCTCACACCTCTCATCCAGGAGTCTCCCTGGACCATCGAATGGGAAGAACGATCGCTCAATAGGTGTGTAATGCAATGATGGCATCTCCCGCATGACAATATCTAATGCCCTGACTGCATCTTGTGGAATTTCCCCACTTTGTTTACCACTCAGGACCTTTTTCAATTCAAGGAGACTAACTGATGCTACAAACTGGATTTTAACCTGTAAGGATTCACAAACAAACAAATAAACAAAACACAGAGGGAACTTACTGCAAATAAAACCGTGTTTGCTCTATTTTTGCTGAGAAGGGCGTTTAAATTTAAAATTGTTCTCTCATGCATTAGTCACAGCTCTAAGAGTGGGTCGCAATGCGTACATGTCTGGGCTTCAGTTTAAATTAAACACGATCATCCATAAATCACGACATGCAATCAGGCTGTACTTTCCACATTACGTGCAATGAATAGTTTTAGCTGAACTCAGTACAGTGACTCGTGACAGTATGAATTGCAGCCTGCACCGAGTTAAAGCTGAATGTTGCTTGGTGTGTTGGTTTCTCAGGGCAACAAACACTGTAACAAACCTAAAAATCTAATAAACAAAACCTAATGGCGGCGCAAAGTCAAGCTAGTGAAACTGGGCGTTAAAATCTGTAAATACTCAAAGTAATAAACAATAACATTCTGTAAAGGCAAGTCACCTTAGGCCCCACACTTTCCCACAACCTAAAAAGTGAACACAAGTGACATAACCAAGACAACGTTATCCTCTTTGGCAAGACTGAAATACTAACCTTGAAGTCTTTGTCGTTTCCATCTTCACAAGGTAACTTGACACTGAGTTCTGCCTAGTTGTAAACAGACAAATCCACTTAAGCTTATACAATGTTGTACTGTTTAGATATAGGCCTAATCACGGTTTTTGACGCCATCTTGCCGGGTAGCCAAAGCGGTCAGGAATTACAGTGTTTGTATGGGAATCGGATGGCAAATAAGTTTTTGGAGATATTGATTTTGCACAACTTATGAGATGCAACTTTACCATACTTGGCAGTAGATTGTATTCACCACATTTGAAGGATGTAGCTGTGTTAGAAGGAGCTCAGTTGATTTTTTTAAATTTCCCATACATTTGTCTATAATTTATTTCCCGCGAACCGCGTCTACCCAACCAGATTTACAGACAAATGTATGGCACATTTGAAAAATTAGCTGAGCGTCTTCTAGCCAAGCTACATCCCTCAAACTTGGTTAATATAATTTTCTACCTGGTGTTTTAACGTTGCGATTCACAAATTGTGTAAAATTCAATTTTTTGAAAAAGTATTTGCCATCAGATTCCCATACAAACACTATAGTTTCTGACCGCTTGCCTTCCCGTCAAGACGGCGTCGAAAACCGTGATTAGGCCTATTATTGACGAGCACACGCACTGGATATGGGGCAATATACGAATATAACAAACGAGGCACCAGATTGGTTATAGACACCTCATATAAAACGAGCGGAAATGAAATAACTATTTCTGTCATTTAATATTCAAGTTCATTCCACTTCTTCAATCTTTGCTTCTTAATCTGCTGAGAAAACAACTAGCCTTTATCTCACTTTATCTAAACCTCTTACTCTTTATGCGCTAAATCATTTCAAGGGGTTTGGACAAGATTATTCTGTTGTGACAACCTGAACAAAATACAGTACTGTAATTTTGGAAAGGCACACAAAACTTACTGAAAATACAAAGTTAAAACTTAATGAAAAAACTATGCTGTTTGTGTAGATTCCCCTCCCTATCCTTTTGGAAAATAATAGCCTTTCCGAATGCGAAATGAAGGAAAAACAGGTTTAGACCACGTAAGTAGCCTAGGAGCACTTAAAAATACGTAACAAGGTCAAAAAAAAAAAACTTGTGAAAGACAGAAGTTAAAGCAACAACTGAACTTTCCATTCGGTGTTCAAACCAAATCGATTCCACGCACAACTGGAGGTAAGTTAAGTTACATTTTCCTTTGACACAATTAACAATAAATCTGTGCTTGGACTTGATTGTTTTGATTTCCAGTATAATCATAAACTAAAGTAACTCTTAACTCACTGAAGGAAGTTTGATTCTGCTATACAAGTTCCTCATGCCGTCAAAAGCGGGATGGTGACCTTGGAATGTTGTATCTTTGTACCTCCTTATGATTTCATTCACAACGTCTCTTTTCACCGTTTGGGGACACTTGTATAACCTGTGTGCAGTTATCTCCACATCATAGCGGTACAGATCTGATAGCTGTGGCGAAATATTGAGGCGGAAGAAGTTTGCCCTTAACCGGATAGGGCGGCCAACAGTACCGCGGTCTGGTCTTTTAGGGGAATGTAGTCCATCATTTCCTTGCGTTTGAAGAGCTGGGGGTTTAAGAGCAACCAACTTTATACATTGGCAAATTAATCAGAATAATTATATTGAGACAAATAGACCATTTCCGAATTAAGTTGTAAGCCTCTTTCTCAAAGCGAGTCTTAATGCCCATCCTTTCATATCAAAATGAGATTTCATTCAGATGCAAAAAATTAAACTCAGTTTCATATGAATGGTTGTGCACCAGGCCTCGCTTTGATAGAGAGGCGTACGTAAACTTGGAAATGGGCTATAGCATTTCAAGTTCCAAAAGTGCGAATAAGGTACAGACAGTAGTAATAAAAATAACATCATCTTTGAATCATGAATTAACCTTGCGGCCATAGACCTGACAATTTTAGCTTGGCCTTTAATTATAATGATGCAGCCAAAAACATTGCAAAAAAAGAAACAGGTCCTTAATAGTATTGTACCACCCCTTTAGGGTGCACACAGCCTCTAGGCTCTGCGGCCATGTACGCAGAACACAATGTATAACAAACTAGGTGC